ATTAGTCTTTCGCATATGTCGAAATATTGCATGATAAACGGCGTCTACTGTACACTACTTAAAGAACTGTTGCCGAAGGCTATAGTAACGTTGCGAAATGTGGATAAGTCCAAATAGTGCCATTTACGAGGGAAGCGCACATTCTTATTCACATTGAGGTGAAAATTTATAAAAGCCTAGTCGGCCAACTTTATCAAAGATGTTCTGTCGATTAGTCGGCTTCTGAAATTTTAATAATCTCTGAAAATCCATATTTATCATTAATAATCACTCAGCCCGACCTTCTCTCTTTCCTCTTTTGCTCAAGTCCACTATTTTGAGTTGGTACATCCTAAATTCTGTTTGCGAAACTGTGTACGCAAAGGAGCTCGGAATTTGCAGACGACCGTCAAATGAACGACTAGAGCCCTGGAGAAAAACATATTTTTGCTTCACTTGGTCACAACGTTTTAAGGACTTTCTCGAGTTTTTATAGAGTTTGTTTTGCAGAGTTTTATAGCGAGTCTTAGCCAGGCTACCGCCATTAGGAAATCTGTTGTTGCAATTAACAGCGGATGTACTTTTGAATCAATGTAATGGGTCGCGTTTTTTTGTTCTGGCAAGGGAGCCCATACTGAAAGGTGGGAGGGGGCTAAGTGTGTGTCTCGGCCGGGTAGTGCGAATCTTGCCACACCCAGAAGCTGTTGCGTTTGAGAAAGCAGAGTTTTCTCTTGGATTAGTGCCTCTCCAACTGCATAAAGCTAGCTATTATAGGCAGAAACACAAATTACAAATTGCCAAGCATGCACCAACTATTTGGTCGACTTACTCTTAACTAATCAGTATTAATCGCAATAAAAGCTGGGTCAAGACATCCCTAATGCACTGTTATAATGAACGCAGTTGATATGCCAAGCAGATAAAATTGACGTTGGCGCTCTAATATATTTGTATTACACTACGCGCCAGAATACGTGCAACATACCGACATATGCGAAAGACTAATACACTTTCACTTGTCGGTATTGACTCAGGTTGGGATACTAATTATGGTGTAGACTATTCTAAAGTTGTTTCAATTATGATAGGATGCGGGCTATTTTACAAGCTTCGTTCTGACCACTTACAAAACGTACTAACTGGAAAAATAAATACTTAAATAGTATAGATTTTTATCGTTGATTCTGTCTTTATGGATTTGAATGTATTTTATAGAAAACATGCATGAAAAATTATTTCTCGTACTCGTTTGGTAGCAAATTACGCCTTCGCTTAATGTTTTACTTAAAGAAAGGGTGTCTTTTGGTTTTAAAAATTTCTAATTATGAGCTTTTTCACCATTGTGAGGTGTTCATTCATAACACATCGTATCCCTAAATTTATTAATTCTGCCTATACTGGATAAAGCATGTTCGACACCTATTGCAATATTTTATGAGAAATATGTAATTTCTTCCTGAAATCGTTGGCGAAAACCTACTTCTAATTAAACAGGATGTACATGGTGTGCAGTTTGTAAACCTTGAATTCGGGTGTAGCAGTCAGTCGGTTTCAATTTATAAACTTTTTTAAAACCAAGAGATACCCTTTCTTTAAGTAAAACATTTTAAGAAGGCGTAATCTCCTACCAAACCACAACAGGAAATAAGGTTTTCGTTTATGTCTTTCATTAAGTGTATTTGCATTTATAAACGTAGTTTAAATCAATGATATAAATGTAAACTATTTAAGTAGTTACCTTTTACAGTACATAAATTTTGTTATTGGTTGGAACGAAGCTCATTAAAAAGCTCGCATCCTGTCACGACTGAAAAACACGATAGTCAGTATCAAAACCTGAGTCGATGCCGATTTGGCAAAAGAGTATCAATCTTCGCATATGTCGGCATGTTGCACGAATTCTGGTGCCTACTGTATTTACGCATCTGACACATTTTTAACTTTTGCTTGCATAAAATATGCTCATGCCTGGTAATTTGCACCTAGGGCAATCTCACAAGCTATCTCGTACTGTGAAATGGGAGGCACGGGGGCACTGCAATGTAAACATCGCCGCATCCAGCGAAACCCGTTTTTCTGGCCAAGGCCGACCGGAGGAGGTGGGTGCCGGTTACAACTTTTGTTGAAACGCAACCCACAGGAAAAATGAGGTAAGGCCGTTGCCGCCTTCTCCATCCGGGCCGACATTGTGGGACGCCTGTCCTTTCAGGGCACTAACGAACGCCTGATGGGTCTCCGCCTACCTCTTCTGAATGAAAAAATTGGCCCCCATCAGCGCCTACGACCCCCACTAGAAGGCGAGCTCCACTGAGACAAAGAACGATTCCTACGAGGGTTGCCCTTCTGGCAACTGTGCCAAGGCAGAGAAAGTCGACTTTCCTTGTGGACTTCAACACTCGCCTCGGCGCAGGCCATACTGCCTAAGAAGGAGTCCTACGTCCTTAAGGTCTCGAAACCTGAAATGACGATGGCCTGCTCCTCCTACGAACCTGCGCAGAGCACCCCTTTACCCAGATCAACATCTTATTTCGTCACCATTGCAGCAGAAGGCAACCTGGATGCACCTCCGGTCCCAACACTGACATCTACTGAACTACGTCGTCGTCCGTTGGCGTGACCAGCTGGATATGCTGGTGTCATAGACAGTTCGGATCTGTGCCTCGTAATCTCAAAGATGAGGATCCGTCTTCAGCCAGGCAGGATAGGTTTTGGTAAGCGATCCCCATGTCATGAATTCCATTTCAGTAACGAGTTGGCTCAAGAGCTGGTCACTCCTCCAATCGCAAGAGAGGACGCCTCCGTGGAGAACCGATGGTGAAAACAAGGGGACACAGTCCGGTCTGCCACTTTGAGGGTCCTCGGCTGCGCCTTTCGTCAACATCGGAACTGGCTTGACGAAAACGACGCAGCCATTAGTAATCTGCTCGCCGACAAAAAGTGACTGTAAAATGCTTACATAAACCGGCATACCGACGCAGACAGAGTAGTCTCCTATCAAAGTCACCGCCTTATAAAACAACAGCTGCGGCAAATGCAGAATGTCTGAACAGCTCGCAAAAATGAGGAGATTCAAGGTCACGCAGACCGGAACGAATGGAAGAATTTACGGGTCTACAGTCTAGGGAACCACTCTTCTTCTCAACCCTGATGCAGTCATCCTCCTCACGGAGAAGAAAAATCCTAAAGCATTGGTTGAACAATTCCAGAGCGTACTCAACCATCCCTCCACCATCTTCGATGCCGCCATAGCCTGCCTACCTCAGGTGGAAATTAACGCTGACCTCGACCTCCCACCCACTCCTCAGGAAACTATCTCGGCCCTGCAGCAACTCTCCAATAAGAAAACCCCCGGATCACACGCGACTCCTGCTGAGATTTACGAAAACGGTGGCCGTTAACTTAAAGCCCACCTCACCAGGTTCCTCGGAGGATGTGGCACAAAGGACAAGTCGCCCATGACTTCAAGGACGCCAGATCGTCGACATCTAAAGCGGAATGGTAACTGCCAGCTCTGTGACAATCACCAAAGAATTGAGTTGCTTAATATCGCTACAAAAGTATACGTTCGTGTTCGTCCAAACCGTCGCAACAACCACGAAGAACAAGGACTCCTCCCATAAAACATGTGCGGTATTCATCGTCATCCCGACACCAACGACATGATATTTACGCGCGACCGCTATAGGAGAGGTGAAAAGTGATGCAAACTCACGTCAACAGTACCTTCGTAGAACTGTAGAGAGCCTTCGACATGGTGAAATTAATGTGAAAATTATCCTGTGCTAACCGCTTCAGGTACGCGGTAGGTTATTTCCACGACGGGATGATGACGTGGGTCACTGACAACGGATGGTATCCGAGGCTTTTGAAATGACTATCAGAGAGTTAAGGCTGCGTCCTCGTGCCTATTCTCTTTAGTCTAATGCTTTCTGCCATGGACTTTTACCGTAATGAGGGCCCTGGGTTACGCTTACTTTGGACTTGCGATCAACACGGCCTAATCAATAATCATGCACAACATTCGACCCAGTTTGTCTATAGTGCTTTCTGGGTCATTGTCAATGGCGTCGAGGCCAACACTGTGGTGAATATCGCCTATCTCGGAAGCACGCTGTACCGCAACATCAGTATTAACCATGAGATTGCTCCCCGGATTCTCAAAACCCGCCAGGAGCTTGGCTGGTTGCAAGTCTCTATACGGAACGGTCATAGCCTCCAGCTGTACAATAAACGGAAGATGCACAAGGCTATTTTCCTCTCGCTACT